TTTTCTCGATCATTTGCAAAGACAATTTGAATATTACTACAGATCTGTTGTTTTGAGGAAACGTTTTAGCAGTCCAGCGCTTTTTTTTTTCTTTATTGAAAATTTTTGGAAAATATTTTCAGCACTTTCTAAGCTATTTCACGGAGTAAGACAAAAATGACTTCAGATTCTAAATCTACGAACTCCCTATAAATTAGTATTTTTCCTTAGCCGTTTGCCCTTTAAATGAAGACCATTTTCATGTTTTTTGGAAAATTTTTGGAAATTAATTTATAATTTTCTCAGTTATTTCCAGACAGTTCGAATATTATTTCAGATTCGTCGAAATGTTTTAGTGGCAATTTGCTTTTTTTCTTATTTTAAATAGATCGTTTGAACTTTCTTTTTGGAAATTTTTGGAAAATATTTTCACCATTTCACGGAATAGAACAAAAATAACTTCAGAAAAAAAATCTACGAAGAACTTCCTATAAATAAATTTTACATTTTTTTTTCACTTACCGCGGTTATTGGAATGGCCACAATGAAAATGACGCCAAATTATTATTAATCTACAATAAATTCTCTATAACTTAGACCCTTTTTCATTTGAATTAAGACCATTTTAACCTTTTTTATGTAAAATTTTTGGAAATATTTTTCTAATTGTCTCGGTAATTTGCAGAGACAGTTTGAATATTTTTGGAAATTGTTTTCATCATTTTCTAAGTTATTTCAAAGAGTGGAACAAAAATGACGTCATATTGTAACTGTCTATAACTCGATATTTTATTTCTTTGCGAAAATTTTGATATTTAGAGGAAAAATCAAGGCGAATTCATAAAACACAAGTATAAAAATATGTTATTTTATAAAATTTAATTCGCCTTTACAAACAAAAAGTATGAGGAGACGTCATCAAATAGCTGGTAGAGATAATTAGACAAATTTTGGTCAGATTTTTTTCATCTACATAATATTCCTACCAAACACATAAAATTTATCAAGAATCGGTCCATTAATTTCGGAAAATATCTGCTCTAATAAAAGTGGACACAGACGACAGACGGAAACGCCAGAGCTACTTTCTTGTACTCTAGTGGCCTAGAAGCGTTGAGAAACCATAAAATTAGCCGTTCTTCGGACGATTCAATACATTCTTAGTTTACACTTGGAAAGTAAAAATTAGGACAAATATTCTGATATAAGTATATCTTACGTGTTTTTGTTTTTTTTTTCTTATTTTTTACCACTTTTTGGAAAACAAAAACTGTTAATGTTTTCATATTATTTATTATAAAATTTGTAAACTCATTAAAATTGTTAAAGAATTTTTTTTTCAATTTGGACAAATTGTTAAATGTAACTAATATGTACAACTTTTTATCAAATAGGGACAAAAATTTGAAATATTAAATACTTATTACTAAAAATGAAAATAATTTGAACTGTAAACTTTGAGTGTGTCTAAAAAGTTTAAATTTAAAAATTGAATTTTTCCTTTTAATTAACGTTTTTGGAAAATTTTGGAAAAATACTTTGCCACTTTTCTCCAACAAAAACTAGACAAGAACATTTCAAAAAGAATTACTCCTATTACATATTTCAAAACAATAAGATTTTACAGGAATTTTAGCTTGCTGACAGGGATTAAAAATAATTAGTGTTAAACAGATTTATTTGTGCTTTAAGAGCGAAGAATGTTATGTCTACATAACTTCAATTTTTTTTATACAAAAAATTACCCGTTCCAGAAAAGAAAGTACCGTAATTAATCACAATGTGTCCACACTTGTTAAAACTACGCTCTTAGAAAAAACTCTCTACTTTCATTATTTTCTGTAACTCCCCGAACTCTGTAACGATTTAACTAACTTTCTTTTTTAATTGCAAAAACCAGCCAAAACAACTTCTCCGCGGACAAAATTAATGGTAAAACTTGGACGCAAGAAACGAACTTTAAAATGTAACTGTCGCAGGACTATTTCCAATTCCATGATTAGTCTTGTGCTGTCCGCCACCCGTACACCGTCTGTCTGACAACGCACCATTAATTCCGTCCACTCTGCGTACACAAGTTATTTCGCTCACGTCACAAACGACTCTTTAATATCGAACATCCCAATAAGCAAGTTCAATAAAATTATGATTTATGCGAGGTAGCTCGCCTTAGCAGAAAAAATACGTTCCTGACCCGAATACAAAGTGCGTTTGTTGTACACAAAACGATGAACGGCGTTTTTTATACGCGAAAAGTGAAATTAACCCCGGAAACGCCACACGTCCTGTTTATAACGCATAATTGGTTGCCTACGACCGCAAATCCCACAATAAATTTCATTAAAAAATCAGAAACATGGAATTTTTAAATGTTTGTGACCGCAAAGCGAGTATTGATGTGCGTTTTTATTTGTCGTAGTAAATAATTGATAATTTATGTAGATAACTCACGTATCTGATGTTAATATTTGTCGTTTGATGTATTACTATTTCTAGGAGGATTAAATGGGGAAAGAGTATACATTAAATAATTTCGGATTTCCCGTTTCCAGTGAATTAATTGCACATTAATGCACGATGAAATGTTTGTCGCTGCATGTAGCTATCAATTAATTAATTTTGTTTATTTATTCGATTGAATTTAACAATGCAAATATTTCATTTTTATTTTAAAAAATTGCGCATGAAATATCGACTATTATGCATTTATTTGATGTGTAAATGAACGCTGTCAATTTAAAATACTAATAATATTCATAATATGTACTAATAACAAAGTATTCATTCAAAATTTAGCAAACAACGCAGAGAAAAATTCCGGAAGAAATTTCGTAAATCAGAAGAAATGCACACAAAGAGACTGCATCCCGTACCAAATCGCCCCGACGATTAGTTTAAACGGCCACATTTGCATAAAGATGATATATCTGCACCCTCCACCTACTGTTTTCACTTAATTTAAATTTTCAAAGAGGTTGGTATTCCAGGGCGTGGGGTTTGCGGTGGTCGTTTTTATAGATAAAGCTCACGCTGGATAACAATTTCCATTAGTTTTTATCGAGCTAACGGTTATTGTAATCCTTTACAAGCTTTTACTTTAGGAGAGCAGTGGAGCTTGGATTCGTGAGAGTGCTTTATGGGGTGGGGATATGGCGAAGAATTATCGTTGGCGATAGTGCCTGTTGCTCACTTAAGCAGAACTTTAAATAAAAAATTGTTAATGTGCTAAAAAGGGAGGATGTAACTATGCTAAGGCGACGTGAGCAAAGTGACCCATGAAATTTTAATTAGTGCCTACCTATATTGGCTGCAGTGGAATATTTTTCTCTGTGTTACTTACTTAACAAAGACTGAAATAAGTTAGGATTAAATTGTCTGCAAAGAACACATTTCGCTAGTTGAATTAATTTATTTGATTATTGGAAGTGCCAAATACTAACCGTTCCAATTCATTGTGGTTAATGAACTCCAGAGTTACATTAAAATTACAGTCAGTGATTGAAAGTATTCATTTTCAATCAGAGTAGCTAAAACGATGTATTTATTGCTATCTTTTCTTAATTGCGAGACAGAAGATGGTCTAATACGTAAAAGTTGCAAGATTAGGAATCAATATCCTTTCTAAACTACTCGAATTAAAATTTCAAACTGTAGACGTTCCCTCTAGCCACTCCATAGCCAATCAGCTGCCGAAAGTTACCTAATTTCGCTTCCAACTTTAAAAGTTTTTCAGAAAAATCCACACAACTGTAAAACTGTGCCCTTTTTCGACTAGTTAGTTGTTTCTCTAACGACCTTATTCAATTTGAAACCCAGTTACACGAAGTTATAGTAAGATAGTTTCCGACTATTCGTATTCTAAGACCACCACACTACCCAAACTTAATCAAGAAAACTTAGCAAACGTGGTAAGAAAGCTGCCCTAAATGCACCCGTACCTACAAAACAGTTACATCTGCACTAGAAAAGCGTTATCTGTAAAGAAAAATACCTTCACGTCACCCTATTTTTAGAAATAACACTATAATAGAGGCCCTTTTTTCTCTTTTGCGCGAACGTGTCTTTGATCAACACACACTCGCTATTTATTTTATCTATCAGGAGCATTCGAGAGCCCTGTCCTTTTTACTTTTAAGCACCCTCGAAACCCTTTGAGGCCGCTGCCGAGTTGGCGGCCGTCATTTTCGGTTCACACCAGCGGCGGAACGAAGGGCTTGCACAAAATTATCAGATGCAACCAGCTGATTTTACACTTTTCACCTTCGCAAGAAATGTTCATGTTAATTAATGTGCTACCAAAGTTTCAAGTTCGCTGTTGATGTTCGTAGTTTCTCGAACAATCTGATCATAGTAGGATATGTCACTTTTGCTTTTGAGAGACCTGTTTTCGTATTCTGGGAGGCTTCAAACGTCGAAAAAACATAAAAGGAGCAAGTCACCCGGTTAAGGTTACGCTGTGGAAGTAAAAAACGCGTTTACGTTAGAACAAACTTCAACGCCGCTTTCCGATTCACTTAACAAAAATTTGTAAGTTCAAGACAGCATTAAAAAATCATCACAACGCCATCAAATCTTTACGTGTACGTAACCTCGGCTCTAATCCGCGGTTTTAACGGTGATTGCCGCCCCCATAAAGCCCGGCGATAAATTTCGCAATTGTCAAAATCAGGCTCGCCCGTTTTAAGTGTCATTAGCATAGTAAAACTTGCATAATCTGTCGGACGAAAGTTAATATGCCCGTACGACACGCTCGGCTCCGGCACATGGTGCCAGTAATCCCGGAACACAACATAATTCCGGGTTATAATAAATAATCTCTTCGTGAGCGGTACGATGTAACGAATAGAAGGGGCGCTCAACAAGTAGGGCTGTCGACACCGAAACCATTCAGGAAAACCGCCCTCATTCCGTTGTTTCAGCCGTTGACAGCATAATAATTGAAAAAGTTTTTAGGTGTTTTAATGAAAATGTCGAGACCGGCGTATCTATACGACCGGAAATACGGCCGGTTATGGTCGGTTTTAACCGACGGCGGCGGCGGCGAGCTCGAGGGTCGAGGGTGCTGCAAGCCAGAAGGGACAAGGGTCCTAGAGTTCACCACTAATATTATTATTATTATCATTAATAATGTTTCAGCATGTTGTTATTTTCATATCTGTAGTGTTGGTTGTTGTTGTTATTAATTAAGATCCACCAGTGACCCGGAAATGACTGGCATTTATTATTACGGGTACTAAGACCAAGTAATAACATTCATTCATTAGATTAATACAAAACTTTTGAGATCCTAGAATTACAGCATACAAATTCGTCTCTCTGATTGCTATATAGTAGGAGCAAAAAGATCAGGTCAGGTCACATTCAGAACCCTTTCTTCTATGTAGGCAGATCAACTTCAAGTCTGGTACAATTTTTTTGGTCGCATTAAGTTTAAGTACCTACATTAATAATAAATAAATTCATTTTGTTTTTACTTTCCAAACGTAAGCTAAGACAATACTGTAATAGGGTCCATCCGACGAATGACTACCTACTTTCATGTTTTCTCCACGTTTCATGACCCTTTGAGTGCGAAAATATAAGTCTCTGGTTTCAGTCCGTCTGTCTGTCTGTCTGTGTCGATTTTTATTAAACAAATAATCCCTGTAGCCCTTTGGCCAATTATTGTCAAATTTTGTATGTGCTTTGTCACGCTAACCAAAATTTGTAGAGTCATCCCCACCAACACTTAAATGACATAAACACTGTAGTTGTGATTTTTGAATCCGCCTTGATTTTTATCAGAATTGCTTTACAAAAATTTGTGTTCAATACTTTGCCAAGACTATTACAATCCAAGGGTGCCTTGTGCACAGAGATATGGACAGTATTAATATTATTATATTTAAAGCAGATAACCAAAATACGAGGTAATCAACAAAACCTGTTTGAGTGGGTAATAGAATTAACTAGTTTTGAGAAATTTTAATTCAGATTAAAGGTTGCTGTCAAACAAGTCGACTGTAACGATGACAAAAATTCAAGCAAAATTTGTTCATAAACAACTGAAAGAGTACTTGTTGTGTCCTGATATTATCATATTAATAGTACATGCTTAACTTCGACATTTTATGTTTATACATTGAAAGAATTCGGCTATTAAGCACGTACAGATGCTGGTTGACCAGAACAAGCGGCGGCGACAGATAAAAAATGTCTTAAAAGAAAATGAAATTTGATTGAAGAAATGGAAGACTAACCATTATCTATTAAGCTACAACACTCTCAATATTATTTTAATATTATTATTTCAACAGTCCAAGATCCTTAAGAGGAGGCTCATGGAATTTTCAATAAAAATAATGAAAACATTCTTTATGATGTAAAATACGAAAAAAACGTAATTTTATTAAAGTAAAACTGGTAAGACTGCCCGCAACTAATGCGTGAATACCTCCGGCTTACTTTTTAATTTCTTAGTGACTGAAATCCACCTTTTATTCTTTTTTTAGAATAATCATAACAACCAGTAGTCATTAATCGTCGTGCATTATCATTAATAAAACAAGCTGTTATTTGCCATCTTTAATTTTTTTAGTAGCTCTTAAAATAAGAGCGATTTTGGCAAATCACATACCCTCTAAGAAAAGAGAGGGTGGGTGGGCGGGGCTAGTACTTGCATAGATAAGACTGATTTTGGCAAATCAAATACCCTCTAAGAAAACAGAGGGTGGATGGGTGGAGCTAGTACTTGCTATGATAAGACTGATTTTGTCAAATGAAATTTTGTCCAATTATTAAAAAAAAAAACAACCATATTTTTGTACATTCGAACTGAAATGGTACTAATTAAACATGATCATGGGCGAGAGAAATATTAAATAAAAGTTCTATTACTAGTTATTGTGATAATGAATGTGTTGTTTAGTTGTTAAACGTATCAAAAGAGCCAATTTTAAAATCATAATGACTCCACCAAAATGTGAGAAGGAATTTTAATAGCGAAGAGTTAATCCGCCATTTTCCCGACATCCGGCATAACGCAAGAGCAGTTTTTTTAAACGGTTTATCGTCGTCTTCTTTTTAGTATTTTTGTGAAATTAAAAAAAAAAAATTAAAAAAATGATGATGGCAGATTGTTTTTAAGAACTTATATTCAAAATTTCATATCAAGAAGTGTGTTAATAATGGTAATATTATTCATTCACAAATGAATTAACAGGGTAAATCACAGAGAATATTTGAGTTTGTTTTGGAAACGAGTGAGTTCTGTCTCCATCATTTCGTTAAACGTTTCTAACTCGGAAGTTTAATTGTAATTTACATTTGAGTTAATATATATTTTGAATATGAAGCCATAAAGTAGTTTCTCCTGTAGTTACTTTTTGTAGTACACTTCGAAGTTCAGCTATTTAATTCCATGGTATTCCACCTGAGTCTATCAATTATGTAAGCTAATCAACAGAAATATATACATATAAGTATTCAAGAGAAGATTCTGAGGAATTTAAATACAGCTCTGGCAATAATCTGAATGAAGCAAAATTTTAAAATAATGAGAATGTTTTAATTATTTCTACCAATAGAAAACCAAAAATCCTGAATGAATTTTACTTCCCGAGCGTAAGCCAAGGAAGTATAGTAATCCGTCTGTCTGTCTGTCTGTCTGGTGTTTGTAATCTGTAGAGAGCGGATTTTATGAAATTTGCATATCCGTTATTTTTTGCATATAAGTCTTGATATTTAATATGTGAACGAATCATGCTAATTAAAAACGAATACAGCTATAAAAAAATTGCATATTTGCATATATTTGCCTTCTGCTGCATATTTCACGTAACGGGTGCATATTTTGCATTTTTATCAATTTTTGTGCCAATTTGAAAAAAAAAGATTGTTATTCTATCGGCATGTATCTAGAAAGACGAAATTTCATTAATCATATTGCAAATATTGTCCTGATGTTCAAATAACTAGTAAAGGTTTGGGTTTTATGGTAGTTTGGAGAATCCATTGGGTGTTAAGCCATTCTTCCAGGTAAATTTGGGCCCTAATTACTTTTGGAAATACCATTCATTCCCAATATTTTTGTTCGTTACTTAAGTGTATTAATGGTATGTGTTATGGTGGTTGAAGGGACGTTACCCTATTACTTTTCATCGTGAGTTTGCATTTAAAGCATTTAAAGCGATACATGTGTGTTAATATATCGAAGATAACTCAAATTAATTTATGGATTAAACCTTTTCCTGAACATATTCTTCAAGAAGGAACTGTTTTGTCGCATCTGCTCTAAACCGGTAAGGATTTTTATATCTGTGGACGTAGTACACAGTTTTTCTATACCAAATATACTTTAGAATCATCGGAAAACTTTTGGTTAGAATATTTCGAAAAATATTTAAAAATAAATTGTTACCAAAATAGTAATTAATACTAATTTTGTAATTTGTAAATAAATTTAGTTCTGTTATTACGCTTTTTTTTAGTTTTTGGAGCATATGCAGCTGCATATCTCTGCATATATTAAGAAAGTTACTGCATATTTGCATAAATTTGGTGCATATCATATGATCATATTTCCCAAAATTTTGCTGCATATTTTCCGCTCTCTAGTAATCTGTATCCACTTTTATTAGACACGTAATCTCCGAAACTGCTGGACCGATTTTTATCAAATTTTGTGTGTAAGTATATTCGTATTAGAAATATCATGTAGGTGGTTAAATGCTAACCAAAATTTTGCTAATCATCCCCACTAACAATGTGATAACGTCACTTCAAAGAATTCTATGTTTATTTGAAGGAACTGTTACACAATAATATAAAGGTGGTGTACAAATGCACTTTAAGCTTATTCCTAACCGTCCAAATTTTTGCAAAAACATAATGCACGGTATAATAACACTTTACCATTAGCGTAAGGCATCCCGGTGGTGGTATAGTAGTTACGAGTCACGAATGCGAACCGGACGTCGCGCGTTCGATTCCAAATTTGACCTTTCGTTTTTCTTTTTTTTTTTCTCTCGTTTCCTCTCGCATTGTGTATAATGTTTTTGACGTCTTAACAAATTTTTTATTGATGAAATTACTCCACTTTCTCGAAAAGGTTAGAACAAGCACCTCTTCACTTAAAAATCTAAAACATTCTCGGGGGCGCCAAATATATTTTTTAAAGAATGTGCAAGGGTCACAGTGGTCTTTTTTAATAATGTAAAACCTTCTCGGAGGCGTCAGATGTATTTTTTTTTTAATGTGAAACCTTCTCTGAGGTCCCATTTGTCTTTTTAAAAATATAAAACCTTCTCGGGGGCGCCAAATGTGTGTTTTTTTTTAATGTGAAACCTTCTCGGGGTCCCATTTGTATATTTTAAAAAATGTAAAACCTCCTCGGGGTGCCAAATGTTTTTTCTTTTTTTTTAATATGAAACCTTCTCGGGGCTCCCAACACGCCTTTTTTAAAAATGTAACACCTTCTCGAGAACACAAATGTGTTTTTTTTAAATGTGAAACCGTCTCGGGGTCCCATTTATCTTTTTTAAAAAATGTAAAACCTTCTCGGAGGCGCCAAATGTATTTTTTTTTATGTGAAACCTTCTCGGGGATCCCATTTGTCTTTTTTAAAAAATGTAAAACCTCCTCGGAGCGCCAAATGTTTTTTGTTTAGAATATAAAACCTTCTCGGGGCTTCCAACAGGCCCTTTTTAAAAATATAAAACCTTTTCGGGGCCTCAAATGTGTTTTTTTTTAATATGAAACCTTCTCGGGGGTCTTAACTATCTTTTTTAAAAATATAAAACCTTCTCTGCGGCCACAAATGTATTTTTTTAAGAATGTGAAACTTTCTCCGGGGGTCCCAACTGTCTTTTTTAAAAATGTAAAACCTTCTCGTAGGCGCCAAATGTGTTTTTTTTTATGTGAAACTTTCTCGGGGATCCCATTTGTCTTTTTTAAATATGTAAAAGCTCCTCGGGGCGCCAAATGTTTTTTTTTTTATATGAAACCTTCTTGGGGCTCCCAACTGGCCTTTATTAAAAATGTAACACCTTCTCGGGACCACAAATGAGTTTTTTTTTTAATGTG